CTGTGCAGCATCTCGTAATTCTTCAATATCTGTGTTGATGATTTCATCGTCCGATTCCGTGTCGACCGGTTCTGGTACCAAACTTTGCCGTGGAGTTCCCCACACCTGTTCAAACAAGATTTTTTAGGAGAGATGAACTTGAATGAATTCATGAAGGTGAACGATTCTTTTTACCTTAACAATGAGTGTTAAAACAATCGCTGAATTATGGAAGTGGCTTTTACCAGCAGCATCTTCCCAGGCTGTTGAAAGTATCAATTCCGAATTCTCCAAAATATGCTGGGATTTGATAAATATGTTAATTTCCTTATTTTTATTATTATAATCGTTATTTTTTCGACTAGACATGAAAACTAAGATTTTTTTTGAAGAAAAATATATTTACCTCATGTGCGCTGGAACTCTGCTTGCATGGGGCGATTGGAAACGAGTCAAGTAGTTGGCGTATGGCCTCCACGTGCGCCTGCAAATATTTCACATTTTTTCAAATTATAGAAAGCTATTTTGTTGAAAAACAGTTCATGCAAAAGACTACACTTTTTGTGAATAATGTCGGTGCAGACTGACTACTGGTACAGTACAGAAGAAACAAATCTTTTTTTAAGTGAAATCACTAGCAAACCTAGGAGGCAGGATTCCTGTCTCTTTTTTCTGCTGGGATCGAAACTGACAGAAATAAAAATCTGACTACAATAAGCTTTACTTCGAAGTTACCCGCAGAAACAAAAGCTTTCTATTTTTGTGCGTTTTTTGCATCTCGGCTCTGCAGAAAGTTATGGTGTGTGTGTTTCTCCAAATGTTTGGACTTCCAGCTTTACAGAAGCTACGAAGCTAAAATTCTGGGCGATCAGTCTAAAAAAGCTAAAATTCCAGGCATAAAATGAATGTTCACACTTCCCTAATTTTTATGTAAGCATACGTGAAAGATTTATGTCAAAAAATTTCGGAAACCAGACAAGTTTGAACGTTGAAATTTAACAAGGATTCTTTCACTGTATGACCGAAAGAATTTAAATC